CATCATATCCTCTAAGTTGATGTCTTCTGAGGCCACTACATCCTGTCTTGAAATTTGCAGCTCCTTATCATAGACTGCACGTGACTTGGCATCACTAAGGATTTCCCAAGCCTTCTGTACTCTTAAAAATCTATCTCCTAACTCATGATCAGAATGTAATTTATCTGGATGAGAATTAAGAATAGCAGATCGATAACTTGTACGAATTTCTTCATAGCTCGCATCTTCCTTCACAGACAGAATGTCATAGTAACTTTCTTGGATGGAATTACTTCCAAGAATCATGGTTCACCACCACTAGTTACAAGACCAATATCACTGCAAATACATAAAAATAGATTTCAACGAAGGTTATTGACCCTAAATTTATTGAAGAGAAACCTTAGTAGAAGCTATAACAGTTTAGAAAAGAGAATTCAAGTTTTTTGACCAACTAAACACTGATGAAGGGTAGCTTTTTGCATTAAGGAACGCCCCACATCCGCTTACCCTATGAAGGGCATTGAGGGCAGTGCTCAAAGAATAAATTATTAGTTCATAGTACTTCATAGTGACTTCCCCAAATCCAGACATTCACAATCAAATGACAGATACTGGAAAAAATTAAAATTTGTGCAACACGTATTATCCCTCTTATTAGAATATATTGTCTGAGATTCTTTTAACTGAAACCTGTCTAATTTTCAAGAATAATCTTAAACGTAACATGACTCGAATTATGAGTGGAATACCCCTCCAAGGAGAAGAAACCCTAAAAAGCAGAAAATTTTGGATCAGATTGAGCATGATTGATGAACAACAGCCTGCTATTAAGAGATTAAAACAAGAAATCTAATTATCAAAATGAGATAAATCAAAAACAAAAAATCAGTAACTACGAACTTAACACTATCAAATAAGTATCGATTAACCGATTAAAATTGTTCTCGCAAAAAGCAAGAACATCGACCACCCAAAAAAAAAATGACGAAAATGAAATGAAGAGAAGAAGAAGAAGAAGAAGAAGAAGAAGAATAAATCGTACCGAAATCAGTTGATGTTAACGAGTAGTCCGGTTTGATAAACCCTGACCGTACACAATGAGTCGATGAAGCGAAATCTTCCTTGCCTTCTCTTGAGCGAATCCTGGCGCCGGCGGGCAGGGAGAAGGACAAGGAGAGATGCATAGAGAACTCATGCTTTTGCTTGCACGATTTCGGGCTCAGCCAATCCGGTTCAAGAGTTAAAAGGCTACGTCGTCGTTTTCCATGTTTTGCCTTTGCTTGCACGAGTTCGGACTCAGCCAGTCGGGTTCAAAAGTAAAAAAGGTTGAGCTGGGGACAGATCAATTTACTTTCATTGAGAACCCAAAGGCCCAAAATCTGATTCGTTGATTTACTAATTACTTACTAATATGTAAGATTAATTCCTAAAGAATCAACTTGCTAAATTATTGTTAATAATCCCAGTATGATAGGAGCTTAAGCGAGCTAATATGTGGAATAGAATTGGTCTAAAAGTATTCACATCCAACATTCTAATGTCCTGCACCCGTGTAAATGCTTAGTGGTTGGTGCATGAAATTCCAATTTCCCCTTACAACAGAACCATTTTGGCATTTGTAATTAATAATCCACAAAGAAAAGCTTGTCATGTCTTACTATAACCTCATCCCAGCACTGGGCTTTCACATCTTAAAATCATCAGCGCTGAGACCACCAATGACCAATATAAATTTCTTGGTACAAAAAATTGACTTGTCGGAAGTAGGGTGGGAGTAACACCACCCGCTTCCCCACCTTTTTCCCTAGGTTGTTCCAAAACCAAAGAGACGATATATGGTACTAACAAGCAGAGGTTAAGTTTTTCATCGGATGTAAATGGGTCATTGTGAAGATTTCGGTAGAGCTACAGTCAGCTAATCTCGAATTGATTGCCCATCGTGTCTTGTTGATCAGAATTCGGTCATACACTAACAACACCAGATACCCAAGGAACAATAACAGGAGCTGTCGGGTGGCTGTTTCTATATGCTTCAGAATATCTGTCCTTGAAGTTCAGTCGGGGCTTCTCTGACTGCATTTTTTGGTAAAATTTTTAGATTAGCTTTAAGTTGCCAAAATCTTCTGTTAGTTGCAAATGTACAATGAAATGCTAACTTGATGCAAAAGGACACTTACCGCTTTCAGCCAGCACTCCATGTGTTTGTGTTCATATATATCTGGGGAATAGCAACCACCCTCCAATGGACAATAAACCCATAAGTTGCATTTCTTTTCACCTGGCTTTGCATGTTTCGCCTGATCTAAGCAAGCCTGGCAGCAATCAGCTGCACTTTCTTTGTGGTGGGTAAGACCCCATCTAACAGCAGCACCATCATAATCCGTATGAAGTTCAGCACGGCATTCTGGTGGAAGAGGCCTCCCAGCTAAAATTTGATCCTCATCTGCTCAAAAGAATTTTACCTTAGTAACAGACATTTCTCAGCAGAATTTTTCAACTTCAAAGTGAATGAAATGAGGGTAGGTCCACAACAAATGCAGGGATTTTAGGTTAAAGAGAATCAATTCAACTCTCTTGTCCTAATGAGAAAGAGAGGGCTTTATCAACAGGAGAAATTGAATAATTACCAGTATCTTCCACACCCTCAGGCTTATCATCATGTTCTTTATTATTAATCTCGGTGGGTATCCAAAGGCCAATGTCTTCCGAAAGCACAGCCCAACTAGACTCCAAGGTTTTTACTAACATCCCTACAAATAAAATAGTTAGTCAGAATGGTAAGCACTAATATTCTGCCACTAGTGAAAAATCTTTTAAGGTTTGCATCTCAACACATAAACTAAAGTAACAAAATATACCACCTTTCAGATTTTAAGTTACCTGCTTCCTCCTGTGAAAGAGTTGATTTCAAGCCCTCTCCTCCAAGGGCCAACATCTTGGCTTCTTTTAGTTTCTCCTTGCGCCAGGTTTCAACAACTTCTGTTAACCCAAAAAGAATATCAACAAAAAGACTAGCAACTTACCAATAAAATACCAAGACAAAGCGACAGCTGATTAATGGTATGACTTACAATATTATTGACTACTTTCAAACAACTCTTTTGACACACGGCAAATGCTTGTACAATAACTCTTACCTAATTGCTGAAATGGGTTTGCTATGAGAATTGGGAGGGGCTTGTTGAGGAATTCCAAACAGATAGCATTTATAAGAATCTATCCAATCCTGTATTAGTTAAAACCAGCTTGCTGCTGATTTGGTAACTGCATCCGATAGGGTATATCAAGTTTCCATTTCTATCAAATCATAAAAGTAAAGATCTTTAGATTTAGAGCTTATCAGCAAACAGCTGTAAAATAATCCCGATTCCCTTTTTCAGAAACTAATATTGCCCACTAAAAGTTAAAAAAAAAGAAAGAAAAGGGATCCGGCTCATAATAATTTGAAAATTGTTAATAAAAGATTAATTTTCGACTAACAATCACATTCAATTTGGGCAATACCAAATCTATGAAGCTCATACTTCCCCAACATAATTTGAACTGTGGCCTCATTAAGACTACTTCCCTGAGTGTTAACCTATTTTGTACTATAATTTTTCATTCCTAAATAGTCAGCGGGGTCCACACAATGAGGTATAAGTCATACCCAAAATCAAAAGGTAAAAAAGTTAGTCCTTTCTACAGCAAAAAAGACAAAGGAACGATGGACAAATACAAGTGGCTCTCCAAAAGCACCAGGATGACCGTGAAAAGGCTCCTACATGCAATGACTATATCTATTCCTAAAAGTTATTCCAACAAAAAGGTCCATGGCTTGTTACCATGACAAGAGATGAAAAGGTACTGCAGTTGTGTTCTTCGTAGTAGGTGGAACAGAGGATATTTGGCTTCTATGAAATTAAATGCCAGGATATGGTACCAGGAAAAAGAAAAAGTTGCAGAAGCAAAAGCAGGATATGATAAAATAACAATTATACACTAAACCTTATTATACACAAAATTCTTAGGGAGAATTTAAGAATTTATTGAGTGGAACAGTGGACACCAAGAAAAAACCTGATTGTTTTTCCCTAAATTTATTGTTAGAAATACATCGTAACCAGAGGATTGAAACCGTCCTTCAATCAAGAGTCTTGATACACAATATGCTTTTTCACAGATTACAAATAAAAAAAGAAAAGAATCTTGACTCATAATAACTCAGCACCACGGACTGACAGATATTGCATTTCATCCTAATCCAATCAGCCAATTCTTTTTTAATAAGTATGAAATCAGTCAATTGACAACAATCTTCTACAAATTATTGATTCAGTGGTTAGCCTTAACTTCGAGTTTATCAATTGACATGTACAGCATTATAAAACAAATATATTTTTTGACTTTTGGATGATACTATATCAATAAGATTACTGGCCTTGGCAAAATGTATGAAAGGGAGTGAATCCATAGCACACTTAGTGGAAATTAAGCAACATGGATCCTAGATCCTAAATGTACTTAAGAATTAAGACTTTCTTACTTTGATGAAACTTTTTGAGATATTACACTTAAGAAAGCATCACAAACAACATCATGGATGACAGGAACAAACTCTCAAAATGGATTTATTCAGAATTAATGGAGATTTCCATTTGCTTTTCGGAAAGATTGAGAATATCATCCCTAAGATGATCATGTTTCAGCAGCAATAATCTTTCTACCAAGAAATATGCACACTAACATCAGATATTGTTTTGAGAGGAAAAACAGAATAATTGACCCTACATATCAACACAATTAATTTTGCACGCAGAAATTTTCCAATGTCGTTATTGCATTACTTATAATACCTGCATGCTAAACCAGCTAATCACACATCTGCGAGTTTCCATAATAGGAATGCATCTAAGGCTCTGATTTATTCACTAACAGATTATCTATAACTTGCAAATTTTTTAAGCTGCCAGCTCCAATGAACTTACACCAAAGAGCCCTATTTCCATACATCATAAATGCCCAATTAATGTATAATATAACTACACTTAAGCTTTAATAAAACACTACTTACAAAACAAGAACAATAATAGGCAGAAAAACGGACATCATGTTATCTATAAGCGGTAATATAATAGAACAAAACAGTCAAAAACTAATAGGAAATACCAACCTTGCTGTTCACTGGCATTGGCATTTGGTCTCAAACTTCTCAATCTCTGCAGGATCTCATCAGTTATCTTATGCTTAACAGCCTGTGGCAGTTCAGCCACTGATTCTTCACCCGAAAATTCATGCTTTAATCGCTTTACCTTTGTATAGAGACAACAGTATCCCCCAATCAAAAGCATTATCACCAACAAAATGGGAGGAACAAGAAAAAAGGAAAGATGGGTAATTAGCATACCAATTTAACAAGCTCTAAAGGTTCACTGGCTCTTCGAATCTTCATTGATTCTTCCATTTTCCTAATCTGATCTGGTGTATACTTTACAACTGGAAAAAACAGAACATCCCCCGGAAATCAAAACACTGAACAAGAGATAATTTATAAATGAAACAAAAAAAAAAG